AAATATGAATCTGAGCAAACGCGTCTGGAATAAGCCTTGCCTTGTTCTTGAGTGATGTACCTTTAACAGCATATGAGTCAACATATTGGACTGCTTCTTGACTTGTTTTGATAGATGAATGTTAAAAGAGCAAAATACACAGTTAGTATCAACATACGTTCCGAAAATAATGATTTTCCTAAATTTAAATTGGTGATTAAGAATATTAACAATCATTCCCATCAAAGTGGATTCCCAAACATTATCAGGAAGAGACTTTTGTGATTGTAGAAATTCATTATACACAGTCATTATTCTTTGAGATGGAATATCCTTCAATTGAGCAAATATTTCTTCATTAATCATTGATCTTGAATCTTCTTGACTTGTGAGAATCTTATTTAGTTTGCTGATAAAGGAATAATAGTCCATCCAAGAGGAGCTCTGTTCAGTGGCCACGTTTAATTGTTCATGAAAAATGTTTGAAATTTCCTCATACAATGGATTTGTTGTAATGTCAATATTTTCGTTCTACGTGTTTTGATGACGGACACAGGTTGCAATTATTCATTAAAAAGCTTACCTCAATAGAAATCAGGGAGTGGAAAGCCTATCTTCTTCATTTGTTGCAAATTTGAATGGACTTGCATCATCATGCTGAAAAATCTTGTCCAACAATTTCTTCACCTCTTCAGACTCCTCCAAACTGCTCTTCTTAATCTTCTTCATTTCTCGGCTTCTAGATGTCAGAGATGATGATGATCCGTATTTTGTTGGTGTCTGAGATGTACTTCTTTTCTTGCTGAGCATTTTGTTTGTGGTTCGAGCCCTTAAAAAATACCGCAAGATGAACATCAGAATTGACTCTTGCATGCTCCACAGCCTGGAAAGACGTTTGGAAAGAATTGAACAACAAGCGAATTACATTTCAGCTACCCTCAAACAATTAAACGCCAAACTTAATGAATATATACGAAATGAAGAGAACAGAAATTGCGAAGAAAAGGCACGGAAGCCATTAGATCATTCGCATCACTTGTTACAATCTTTACAACATCATCTATGTGACGCAATCACCTTTAGAGAAAATCCATCAGTTGAGAAAACTAACGATCCACCAGTTGAGAAAGATGAGAATACATTATCTGACATTCAGAAGTAGTATCTAAACGAAAATGAAGTCCAATGTTGTTTTATGACAAGTATTGAGGCACCGAAGGGCCAATAAACAATATTTAATTTTTTTTGGGTGTTGTTAAGGCTAAAATTTTGAACCTTGGCACAGCTGTTTACAAAACATCATTTTCCTTGCACCTTCGCTTGATCAAGCCAATTCCCAGAGGGACTGGTAATCTCTAGTGGTTCCGACATTACTTACAACACACTTACCCAAAGTCGAGTGTTTGATGTGCAGAGATGAATTTAGATAAATTTAATGTTTTTTGGGAAGATTTGAGGGCCCTAGAAAATTCTCGAATCTGATCTCTCAAGATGATATTGGATTCGAGTGCTCTTTTTTCGTAAAATACTGATCAAGTCCTGACTTTCGTATTGATTTTTTGATGAGCAGTATGTAAATTCTGTCTTCACCACTTATTCATCAAAAATGTCGAGATCTCTTTCTCACCTATTTTTATGGCAATTGTCAGAAAGTTTTTCATGTGAAGGGTTGAGAAAATATACATTTGTATTTACTATATATAAATAGTAGTTTTTTCATCTTTTCTGACAGCTGAAGAAACCAAGATTCATTCAAGCATTGTGTTGCACATGATCAGAAGTACTCTTTTTAAGAATTCATTTGTTGTCTAACTAATTTCAGCTTGTTCAATTTGCACAACATGCAAAAAGTCACGATAAAGACCAAAGGCATTCCAAAGGTGTAAACTATGGAGGATGTGAAGGGGTGTGTGAAATAATTGGATAAACAATAAGGAAATAATTCAATGAGACGACTCTCAGCCAATAGTTGAACCCATAAAAAGAAACCTATTGGATACATGGCAATGATGAAAACATGCCAAAATCGAAAATGCAAGTTTGAGAGCAGAAACTCCGTAACAGCAAAAATACCAACAACATGAACAGCGTAATTGGTGGCAAGCGATCAAACACAAGCACATGCTCTAAAT